GGGCTGTTGAGTTGATTCGAGATCATTGTGACCCTGCATGTTTTGTTGTTATGGGCTGTTGAGTTGCCTGTGACTCAGAGCAACTCCTCTATGCAGCAGCTCTGAATCCTGTCTTATCCTGAGCCAATCTCACTGTCTGCAACACACCTGCCCCTATTACCCTAGTCACTGTGCCAATCCATCTCATCCTGGGTCTTCCTCTCCTGTGCTGACCCTCCAGCATTCTAAGAATGATTTCCTTCTCCAAGGTCTGGTCCCTCCTGGCAACATGCCCATAGTATGTGCAAGGGAGCTTCAAAATCCTTTTCTCACCCTCTAGATACTATGAGACTTTGCCAGGTCTTGCATCATTGTTAAACAGTATGTATCAAATGCGATGACGGTTACCCATGATGGACTGTATTTGGTGGAGCTCCCATATTAAAACAAACTTGGAAGCAAGAATGGCATCCACTTCTGAAATAGCTTGCCTCCAGAAACCCTATGAACCTGGAGAAATGAAGAAAGCTATACAAATGTTCAGGTCTTTAATTCATAGGGTCGCTATGAGTCATCTACGACTTGATGGCACTTAACAACAACAACATGTTTGTGCCCAGTGTTGCAGCCATTGTGTTAATCCATCTCCTTGGAGCCCCTTCTTGTTTTCAACTGAACCTTTACTCTACCAAGCACTATGTCCATCTTCAGAAGATGGTCCCTCTTGATAACATACCCAAAATATATTAGATGTCTTGCTATCTTGACTTCTGAGGAACATTCTGATGGTACTTCTTAAAAAACAGATGCTTGTTCTTCTGGCATTACATAGTATATTCAGTATTCTTCATCAAAAATCATAATGTAAATAAACCAAACTTATTTGTCTTCTTTATCCACTGTCAAGTTTTTGGATAAATATGAAACCATTGAAAATAGCATGACTTGGGTCACGCACAAATTTTCCTCAAAATAATATCCATGCTTTTGACACTTTAAAATAGTCCCTGACAGGAAATTTTCCCAGTACATCCTCTTATTTCAAATCTTGTTGCTACTACATGAGCATTGATTATGGATCCATGTACAATGAAACCCTTGACAATGTCAGTCTTTTTCTCCATCTATTATGATGTTATATGGGGTCTATTGGCCCAATACAAAGTTGTGTGGATCTGGATTTGTTTTTTATGTTGAAGTATAAACCATACTGAAGTCTGTAACCTTTATCTTCACAACTTCTAAGTTTTCTTCACTTTTAACAAGTAAGTTTGCAGAGTCTATATAGCAAAAGTTGTATGCTGTGTTGTTCTTCATATAATGTTAATATGATTTTAACATATAGTCTTAATGCTGTGCAGTTCTTTATATAATCTTTCAATATCATTACTATCGAGTTGGGACCGACTCACAGTTGACCTTCAAGCAGATTTTCAGAGACTGTAAATTGTGTGGAGGAGTTTGTTCATCTTTTTCCTGTGACACAGCTGGCAGCTTTAACCATGAGAGAAGCTCCACCACTGAGGTATCAGAAGAACACCTCAGCAAATATACTAAGTATGGCAAAAGGAAACAGCCCTGACACACACTTATCCTCATCTATAACACTGTAGCATATCATTGTTTCTGTTTGAATGACTGCTTCTTGGTCTATGTACAAGTTAAATAAAACCAAAGTAACAACATCAGCAACAAAAATCCCAAACCCACTGCCACCGAGTCACTGTGATACTGCAAAACAAAGTAGAATTACTTACAGGGTTTCCAAGGGCTTAAGTCTTTCAAAAGTAGACTGCCAGACTTTACCCTGCAGAAGAGCTAACAACCTTTTGATTAGCAGCAAAATCCTTTAAGTACTATGCCATCAGGACTGTTATCTGTAGGTTCAGAACAAGCACAATCTAAGTGTTCTGGAATTCTCATTCTCTGCAATGTTTCCTCTGTATTGCTGGAGCTGACTCACAGCTGACCCTCCAGAGGGTTTTCAGAGGCTGTAAAAATCTCACAGGGGATTGCCCATCTATCTCCTGCTGGTGGATTTGAACGAACATTTGCTATGATCCATAAAGCAAAATACCTTTTCATAGGCAACAGAATACAAGTGTGTAGCTTTCTGACATTGTTTGTTTTGAGCCCTGAGCCATCTGCTATCAGCAATGATATGTCTTATTTCGGCTTGAATTTTCTGGCAGCGCCTGGTCAAATAGTGCCAAGCCATTTTAAAACTTATATTCAGCAAAATGATACTTGTGTGGCATTGTGTGGTAATTTCCACATTCTATTCCATTAACTTTCTTTGGGATTGGCAGAAACACAGATCACTTCCAGATGATTGGCCAAGTAGCTATCTTCCAAATTTTTTGATCCACACATGTGAGCACCTCCAATGCTGTATCTTTTTGTTGAAACATTTCAGTTAGTGACATTATCAATATCCCACACAGACTATGTAATCTAATATTGCCAATAGCCCAAGGAGGCAACACTGTTATTGATACTATTTTACAATGAAAAGAAAAAAAACCCTCGAAATTCTCTGCACTGTAGAAATTTTGGTGAACTCAAAATTTTTTTGCCCAAGAAAAGATGGAAACTTGAGTTTGAAGGCTTTAAAGCTTGGAGTTGAAAGCTGAATTAATTTTATTTCTGTTGTTTGAATATTAGTTCTAAAACTTACTTCCAATAATGAGCTGCCCAGGAGGACCAACGCTTTCTTTCCAAAATACAAAAAGAAATTACAGAGAAGTATGGCATGTTCCTCCTTATTTCCAATAGCCAAACTGATGGAACGCTGAGACAAGAAAGACAAATGGAGAAAGAAAAGCAGTAACAAGAACAAAAAGTGATTAGTGGGAAAAGTAAGGCAAACATCAAGCAGAGTTCAAGCCCATCTCTCCCTCTAGCTTCACACACATATTTCCCTCAGTTTGAGAAGATTACAGCAGAGCCAAGACCTCTATATCCTTTTGCCTGAGAAATAAGTAGAACAATCAAAGTGGAAAACATTAACTCGGAACATTGGGGTCACCTTTATTATGAAATACGTAATGCAGGGGTTGTGCAGGGAGCCAAATAGATAATTTATTGTCTAGAAGTGGGGCACTTTTTGTTTAGGTTGAATCCTCTCTGAGGCAAAAAGTCAACTGGTCTTTTGAAGACCTTTGTTTGCTAGGAAATCATGTAGAGTTTTTGGGAGGAAGTGATCTTTTGCTCAGTGAAACTATACTCGGCCCTGTACCAGGTCAACACTCTTTACACAGATAGAGAAAGGTATGAGTTAGAGACCAATCAGAAAGATAGGAACCTCAGTGGAAGGAGCTGAAAGTAGATATAATTGTTGTTCTACACCACTGAATTGGGACCTACTTACAGCAGACCTAGCGGGTTGTCAGAGGCAGTAAATCACCGAGCTGACTGCCTTTCTTCTGCGGAGCAACTGGCTGTTTGAAAGACATGCCTTTGGTTTGACAGCACAGTTCCTTACCACTAGGCCACCAGGTCTGGTTGTAGTAGCTTAACTATACGGGACCTAGCTCTGGAATTCCACAGGGATTTGGGTTGCTAACCTAAAAGCTGTGCCTGGCTGGCAGTTCAAATCTACTAGCAACGCCAAGAAAAATGGGGCGCGTCCTCCTGTGTGATTTAACTGCCTTGGAAACGTGAGTCAGTGCGGGCTTGATAGTACTTATGGTGATGAATGTTTCAAGATTTGGGGAGTTGGGTGGAAGGGTAGTTCTGATGACTGTTATTTGGTGGGAGAAAAGAACTTTTCTTCCATGACAATCTTATCAGCCATACACTCATGGGTATCCTGTGACCAAAAAGTTCATGTCCATGAGAAGGCATTAGTGGCCTCTGGTGGGCTAGAGGTCAGAATCTTCATTGCAGCCCGAAGACATGTGGCTTCAGTCTGCCAGCTGTTCCGTGGAAGAAGAATGGTCAGTCTCCTCCTGTATGATTAACTGCCTCTGGAAACCTGCTGGAGGGTCAGCTATAGATCAGTTTCAACTCAATGGTACACAACAAACACAGCAGGCATCTAGTAGGGAGCTCTGGTGGCCTATTGGTAAGAAGCTGTGCTGCAATTCTGAAGCCCCTCAGTTTGAATCCATAGCTGCTCCATTGGAAAAGGATGGGCAGTCTCCTCCTGTGTGATTTACTGCCTCTGAAAACATGCTGGGGGGTTGGCTGTGGGTTGGTTCTGACTCAACAGCATACAACAAGAAACAGCCTACAGTAACCATTAAGGTATGCATAATAATTAGGAATACTGGAATGGGAGGATTTGAGGTATGAATTCATTTGTATGAATGCTTATTTTCAGCTGAGTTTCTTGAAACATTCTGCAGGATCATATTGACCACGAACATAATTCTAATTAGTAGAGTCGTGGAAGAGCTTACAGGGATTGACATCTTTCTGGGTTCTACCAGATTTGAACCATTTGAGTTATTCCATATGACATCCCCATGGCTCCCTTAGTCTCAGCAGAAGACAGGGTAACAGACCTATGACCTTCGGTTTAATAGGTTAAAGTTAGCTCTATACTCCTTAAGTCTATTTCAGTTCACACCTAACCCATTCTTTTACTTCCATATGAAAATGTTTATCTTTGAGAGCATTATCATCTATTATTTTGCAACTGGAAATTATCCTTTGAATGCTTACTAAGTTCAAAGCCGTGTGCAATGATTTAAAAAAAGGGACAATCAGGTCTGCCTCTGCTTTCAAGATTACAACTGGGACGTATGTGTGGAGGGGAGTACAGGTATAACATGAGATATACTAGATATATCTCAGTAACTAGATATCATTCAATATGGAATTGAGTAAGTACTACTCTAATTGGTATTGTCAGAGTTAGAGGGGGAAAAAACCCCAAACACCACAGTATTTTTCAAATTGAATTTTAGATAAACAATGTGTAGGTTTTTTAAGGACCTAACATGTCCCAAACACTCAAGAAAACCCACTGGAGCGTCAGCTATGGGTCAGTTCTAATTCAGTGGCGCACAACGACAACACAGGTTATCAGAGAACTAAAAACATAGTACATAAACCTGTTAAAATGCTTTTAAACTTTACAAAGCAAACTAGAACGTAAGTGCACAATATTTTTCTGAAATGACATCTTTCAAAGAAAATAAGAAATACTATGATAACGCTTGTTACCTCTGATGTCATCCATATATCAGAACCATCATTTTCATCCAGTGAATCAGGCATAGAAGGAATCAAAGATACAAATCGAGCAATGAGATCCTAGAATAATATTAACATTTATTGAGTGCTTACTATATGCTGTCACCAAGCACAGTGCTTTACATGCATTATCTCGTTTAATCCATCCTATTAGCCTGTGAAGTATACACTAGTAGTATTTTTGTTTCACAGATAAGGATAGAGCTGATAGTGCTAAAATAACTTGCCCAGGGTCATGTTACTAATATAACACACAGGGTCTCTGGGAATGAGTCTAAGTTGTTCTAACTATAGAGTGTGCATGTTAACCATCATATTTCATTGTAAAGAATTATTTAAATGGACACACATATGTCAAAGTAAAGTTTTTAATGAAATACATTTTTAAAAAAAGCTGTTGAAAAATTAACAAAAGTTTGACTTGCTTATGTTCAAAATCTACCCTAATTATTTTTTATTAATGCCAACTTGTTAAAAATGGCCTCAGCAGGGACCCAAATGGGACTGAATGTCTTCTCACACAGGGAAGCTATATTGTGAATCCCACTCCTCACCCTCTGTAGGGCTGCAGAGGAAAGACTGAAGATGAAAGCAGAAAATGAGAAAGAGACCAAACAAACGAGTCAACACAGAAAGCTCATGGTTGATGATTAACGTTATGTGTTCGTTTGGTCATTGTATGGCCAACTGTCCGGCACACTAGACACAAACTATTCTTGTTATTGGTGTAAATGAACTAGTTATATGCATTTAAATCAGTTGACCTTAAGGAAAACAAATTACCCTTCATCATGTCAGTGGGCCTCAAACAATCATTTGAAAGCAAAAAAGGGATTTCCCCCCTTAGGTTACAGTCTGCCTACACAATGTAAACAGACATTTTGCCGGTACCTTTACTCATCATCTGACTCCTGACTCTGGGGACATAAAACTGAAGGGGTCTCAGACCCACTACATGATCTACAGATTTTGGACTTCCCAGCACCTAACAATCATGGTGGGAGCCAATTTCTTAAAATAGCTTTCTCTCTATCTCACTTTATATGTACTTATAGTCCCTGAAGTAGAACATTTTTTCAGTTGCAGCAAAATATACCTATGACCTTTTTTTTTCTGGTATGTTTTCGCATTAATAAAATGTATTATATATAATCTTGCTGTTGCACTAATTTGTTGATGTTATCATTCTCATGCCAACTCCAAGAAAAATAAACACCAAATTTATAATGACACAAATAATAAAGGAAATAATAATGAAAACGTTTCTGTTTCATTATTTTTCTTTTTTAGGATACTCCACACCCCCACCCTAGGTAGTCAACAATTTAGAATCAATTTACAGGGAGTCATAGGAGTGGAACCCCATTCTATGTTTGTTTTTCTAGAGAACCCTGAAACAATCATTAACATTGTAATTTAATTACAATAATTGCAATCATATGGGGCATACAAAGGCACTTGGTTCCAAGCCACCAGCTGCTCCGTGGGAGGATGGATACTCTCCTCCCATGAGACTTCCTGCCTCTGAAAACCCGCTGGAGGGTCAGCTATGGGTTGGTTCTGACTCCACAGAACACAACAACAACAATGACCTAACTGTATGCAGTTAATAAAAAAATAGTTCATAATAGGTGATAAACAAAGGAGCTAGAATTTATATTATCTTTTTAAGATAAAGACAAGTTTTAGTAAATCTGAAGACACCCTTATCTCCATGGGTATTGCATTGCCAGGAAACACAGGAAGTCAGAAAGGAAAAAAAAGCACTCAATCTACATTTAAAGTTGGCTTTGGAGTAAAAAGAGAGAAAATAACTAAGATTTACAGCTGAGGGACATTTAAAATTCACAAACAGTATAATATTCTGAGGAGAGACAATTGACTAGATTAAACTGAATGAACAAAAGGCATAAGCAATTCTTCATAAATGCCCTTTAATCAAAGATTATTTCTTAAAGAATCAAAGTAGAAGTACCGTTTATTAAGCATATGAATAAATCTTCATTTAACATGAAATTAAATTTGAGTGTCTCTTTCATCTGCTGGTAAATAGATGTACATAAAGTCACACAGAGATGGTACAGAAAATGGTATAGTGGTGGGAGAAGTTTTGGCTGTTTGGAGGCTAACAGATAAACTAACTTCTTCATTCCCAGATATAATGAGAAACAATCCTCCAGATGGAATCCTCAGAGGAACCCCAAACCACAGGAATATAACCTTTGATCTTCCCTGGGAGCTAAAGGAATTGTTTTGTGTCATTTTGCAATACTTGGTAGAAAAACAGCCAAGCCAGTATGGCCGCCTTGGCAGTACTAATTCTCTACTCTAGGTGGACAGAAGTGAAGGAGGTAAGGGCAACACATTTTCTTCTATGTCGATCTCAGGAGGACACATTTGACAGTGTCTCTCTCTCTCTCCACCACCCTCCCTCAGGAAAACCTCTTTGAAAGCAAAACAATTTTAGCACTACTGTTATGGTTAAAATTGATTTAAAATTAAAATATATGGACAGTGATGAAAGTTATTATTATACAATTCTGACTGTACTGAAAACCATTCAGATGGATGGGTTGTTCAGTTAGACAGAGATTTTATAGCAACAAAGTTATTTTTTATTAAAGAAGTACAACTTACAAGGGTTGCATTAGAATCATGAAGAAAAATATCCAGAAGCTGTTGAGGTGGATTCAATGCCTTGATGTATCTTGTTACTAAGATCTGTATCCCTTCATCATTAAAAACAGTAGTTGTGATTCTTCGGTTGGGAAACATTGCCTTACAATTGCTTTTAAAAATCTGTGCTTTTTTCAAGACGTCTATCTGATCTGAAAACTAGAATCAAATTTAAGGCATTTTAACTTTGTACCATGTTGTCCTTACAATGAAATATCAAGAACCGGTATGAATTTTAATCAGCATTCCAAGCATTGTTACTCATATTAAAAGAGAGTCTATTTCTTTGAAGGCCTATATAAAAGCAATTCAGAGTAAAACGTACCTTATTTGGTTCTGGATTACAGGTGACATACGATATTTGAGGTTCAATGGTAGCAAAAATATTTACAAAGGTGCATTCTTTTAAATTCTGCCCAGCGTGACCTTCACTAGGAGACACATAAGTCTTACTCCAAGTGTAGCCAAGCAAAACTGATGGAATGTTTACTTGAAATGTTCCACTGATCTGAAATAAAGTATCAATGTAATAGATTATTCATGATGAAGATAAACATGAGGCAAATCCCCTATAAGTCCAGCTCTGTTCTCGTTTTGGTAGGGAAGCCCATGTTCTTAACTACCTTCTACTCTACATTGTAGGAAGTTCTAGTGGTCTAGTGGGTACAGAGTTGTGCTGCCAATCCAAAGGTGGGTAGTTCTAATCCACCAGCTGCTCCATGGGAGAAAGAATGAATTTTAATTTCATTCCAATTTCTCTCATGTTATGTACAGCCTCTGAAAGCCTGTTGGAGGGTCAGCTAGGAGCCATCCTACACTATGGTATGAGGCTGAGAAACTTCCTGGGGATTTACAAATGTCAGAAACCCTCTTCCTTCAATAGAGATGTCAGTAAGTGGCAGAGGCCAAGTATGCAAGTTTATTCAGCAATTAAACCTACTAGGGAATCAGTTCAAGGGCAGTGAGTTTGGTTTTGGTATAGAATTGTTATATGAAATTGCTATATGATATATGTTGCTTTAAGGCCTAACACAGTTATTCTACTTTTCAGCAATCACTCTGAAGGTAAAGTAATAAGATGGTGCATGTCTTCGGTTTTAAAAGCATCCAGAGCCTTCAAACTCTCCAAAATTGTGGGGCACTGTGGCTTTAGTGGTTAGGGATTGCATTGCCAACACTAAGGTAGTTTGACTCCACCAGCTGCTTCACAGGAGAATGATGGGCAGTCTCCTGTGTGATTTATTGCCTCTGAAAACCCACTGGAGGGTCAGCTATGGGCTGGTTCCAACTCCATAGTATGTAACAGGATCATTTTTAACTGACCTAACCAATCTAGCAACCAGAGAATTTAAAGATAACCATATTTCATTAGAAGTAAAAACAGAATATTCAGCAAAGAAGCATTTTTTAATACCTCAGATTGTTGCAAAAGAGTAGAGAAAGGGAAGACAATGGATCCAAGCCAATTCTTTCTCTTATATGAGTGACCACTGCAGGAAAGGGGACAGTGATCCTAGGAAAAAAAAGAATTTTTTTCTATTTACAGTTTAGTTTGCAAAGAATAGTTTCACACATAGGAAACCATTCTCTTTCAGTTCAAAATTAATATAAAGGAACTTTTTCTCACTTGTAATTTCTTTGTTGTTATGTGCTTTCAAGTTGCCTGCAACCCATAGTGACCCTATGTACAGTAGCTCTGAAGCCTGCCTTGTCCTGAGCCAGTTTCACTAATTCTGACACACCAACCCCCATCACCCCAGTCACTGTATCAACTCATCTCATCTGGGGCCTTCCTCTTCTGCACTGTCCTCCACCCTTCCAAGTATGAATGTCCTTCTCCAAGGACTGTTATCTCTTGGCCACTGCCCAAGTATGTGGGACAGAGATTCAAAATTCTAGCCTCCAAGGAGAGACTTGGTTTTCACCCTCTCTACAAGAGACCTATTTGTTTTCTTGGCATCCACAGTACATTCAAGACTCTTCTTTGGCACCACAATTCAAAGGCATTGATTCTTCTTCTGTCATCTTTAGTCATTGGCCAGATCTCTGATGCATAGCAAGTAATTGTGAAGACCATGGCCTGCATTAGCCACACTTTAAGTCTCTAGACTGACATCGTTGCTTTTCTAATTCTTCTACTTTACCTCATGTTTTTCAAGTATCATTTCGTCAAAAATGTTGATGTATATATTATCTTTTACTTTAGATAAGCTAGAGAAGCTATAATCAGGTCCTGGAGAGCTGAAAAGAAGACAAGTATATTTATTTAAATGCTTGCTGCTTCTTTTTCCTTACCTCCCCCCACCCCCGCTTATTTTATTAGAACAGTACTCACAAAAAGATTTAAAATTATTTGTGCTCTTTTAAGTAGACTAAACTAAGAAGCAGCTATGTGATTTGAAGAGTGGCTGTGAATTTAAATCCAATTGTGTTTTGTTCATGGAGAGTTACACTGTTAACCCAAAAGCAGAACCTCTTTATTTTTCTGTTCAATTTCTTGTTGTGTTCCATCAAATCAGATCCAACTGGCACAGGAGGAGATTGACCCTCCTTCTCCAGAGGAGGACCTGGTGGATTCAAACTGCGTGCTTTCAGGATTGCGGTGCAGCTTCTTGCCCGCAGGCCACCAGAGGTCCCAAGCAGAACCTCTTTAGCAGTTCAAATCCACCAGCGCCTCCATAGGCGAAAGCTGAGCAGTCTTCTCTCATCAAATTTACAGCCTTGCTTGAACTGACTCCAAGGCGGCGAGCTTTTGAGTGAATTTCAGATTAGTAAGTAAGTACAAGTAAGCCTGTGTTCACCTTGCTTATTGGGTAATCTGCCCCCAAGTGCTGTTATCACATGCAATGAACTTCCACTCTCAGGTCCAGCTTGCATACTGAAGCTTGAACAGATTTCTAACAGCAATTTAAAAAAATGGCAATCTCATGCAGTAGGTTACTGGACAAACTGACTCTTAAAGAAGTTAAGTAACTTCCTCAAGGAAACACTTTCAGGGCACTGATCTGAATCCATTTCTGAATGGCTCCAAAGACAACAGTCACTACACCAACTGCTATCAACATTACTTAAGTTTGGTGGTATAGTCCATATTAACCCTGCAGTGGTTCAAATCTCCCATTGCACCAGTGGTTCAATGGAGAAGGATGGGCAGTGTTCTTCTGTTAAGATTTGCAGGCCCTGAAACCGGATGGAGGGTTGCTATGCGTTTGAACCAACCAGATGGCAATGAGGATGAGTTTTTGTGTTGATGTTTATGGAAGTAATTACTCTTTCAAAAGATATACAAGAATTTTTATAATTTTCTGAGACCTTTAAGCACTAAAACTCACTCAATTCATTGCTGTCCAGTCAGTTCCAACTCATAGCTGACCTTCTAGCAAGTTTTTTAAGACTGTAAGTTGCACGGGAGGAAAATCTTCCTTCCTCAGAGCAGCTGGTGGGTTTGAACAGCCCGAGAGGCTTGGCTGTTGGGTTAGCAAAGCAGTAATACAGACCACACCACCAGCGCTACCAAGGCTCAGAGAAGAACTGTAAGTGAAAGGTTCCATGTATTTCCGAGAGACATCCAGCTGACTCCCCACCCTGCTCCTTTAAGAATTTCTTTTCACACTGCATTGGAAGGGTGCAGGGCTGGCAGGACAGGGAAGGCTGTATATATTACTAGACAGTGTAGCAGCAGAAGAATGACAGATAAACTCATCCTAAGACATTTTTAAACATGTTGACTTATGTCCTTAAATCATATCAGCTTGCATTGTATATTCTTTTTTTTCACTTTTTAAATTATTATTAAATTTTATTAGTTTTAATGAACATTTACAGGGATTTTGGGTTTTCATTCATTCATTGCTGCACAGTTCTCTCTACCCTCTTCCCCAGTTTGTTCTTCTTCCCCCGTCCTCCGAATGTCTGTTTTAATTGTCCAATTGCCACAGTGCTTGTCAAAGCCAGTTCTG